CAATATTAAGAACTGGTAAAAAGCAAGATTAATAACATAAGTTACTACATGTACATGTAGAGACTATGGGTCCTTAGGGTCCTGCTGCAAAATTATTTCTTATGGATATGACTGCTCGCCTTTGCGAGACTACGGGGGACCCAAGATCTGGTAGCTTTTTTGCTCAACAGATTAGTTTGGCGAAACAGAGGGGCAACGCCGCCAATCTTCTGAGGACCGTGCCTCGCACATGCAAACTCAATGAAATATTTGATTTGTAATAGTTATTGTATCTATTGTTGGCATTAATAAATACCAGGTAATTACTACATTTTCAAAGTACACCTTAAGAGCCCTTTCACATTTTTTGCAAAAAATCGTAATTTTTGAGCGCCTCGTTTACCCCCTTAGAAAAGATTTTGACTATTTGCAATAGAAGTAAACAGTCGATTTATTCTTCCTATTGTAAGTTAATGAAGAATATTTGCAAATACTATTTTCCTTTTTTTTGTACTGACCGTTCTACCGCAGCTAATTTACGGAAAAAACAATAATATGCACAACTTCAAACGCCTCAATCTCTCAATAATGTTCAATAAATTAGGTCAAATTAATTACTGCAACATCAGAAATATGTTTTTGTTGAAACATTATGTATTATAATTTTGATTTTCCATCTCATTAATTATCAAAAAAAAACATCTAACCTCCATGAGTTTTCCCAAAAAATAATGCAGGTTTACCTCGTATTTTGATATTGAATTATATGTATTTTTTTTATTTCATAAAACTTATCTCTACCATCATTGAACTTCTGAAATATGTATCTATTTTCATAATTAGTTCATTAATAATTATTTTATAAGACCCGAAACAACACCCGTAAAATGTAAATATATACTAGTGCAAATCTACCTACGCGCCGATCAGTACGGCAGCGGCGCAATTTTGTAAAAGGGCTCTTAACCGAAGGTGTAAACGAAGAATGATATAGGCACAGTATACTGGACACCAAAGAAATCGGATCACTTGCGACTTCGGAACTCAGATTTGATTTATTCAAAATGTATAAAATTACAACTATCAAAATTATACCTACAGAAAATGCATTTCATGATGATTGGACAGGAATTTATTGAGTTTTTAAGTTTTTATTAAAACTTTTCCAAAGACGACCCGTTTTCAAATAATTGTTTTAATTGTAGTAAAAGCAAGAAAACACACGTCTAAGAAAACTATGGACGAAAACTAAAAGAATGATAAGAAGTATCAGATTATCTTAATTTTGTAAAAAGGATCTTTAGTCGAAATTTTTACACAAATAAGCAAAACGTTAGTATTAGATTCTTGCTTGGTTACACAGTAAGTTGACAATAGTTTAGGATAAAATTTTACCCATTTTAATCATCATGAAACACCCTTTTTGTAGGTATAACTTTAATAGTTGTAAGTTTTATACTTTTTGAGAAAATCGAATCAGAGTTCCATGTACTAGTGATTGACCCATTTTCTTAGCAGATGAGTGAATATATAGCAGTTTTTGCAATTTGTGGGAAGTTTGTAAACTATATTTATTCGCTATCCAGAGAAATCTCTTTGAAAGTATCTGAAAACAAATCTATACATGGCAAAGTACGTACCAAGACGTAGTACGAGCACAGCAGGTTTTAGAAACAGCAAAACTCTTCAAATAAGATTCTTAAAGTTCCTCCGCGTATTTTCGCTGTGCAACGTATTGCGATACCAATACGAGTAAGAAACTCCTCGAATCATCTGTAAACGAGAACTGGAATCGATTCAGCTCTATTTGAGCTGGAATCGATTCGATTTTCCTTTTTCTATCTGCGATCTAACGATTGAAAAGGTTTTCTACAATATGCTGATTCAACTCGTTGTTGATTCAAAAGATTTGCAATGAGATACGTAAAAGAAACTTTGGCTTAAACTATGCTCTCTATTTTCGTAGCATAAAGTCATTTGGTAACTTTCTCGACTAGAAAGATGAAATCTGTAAAAACCTTATTAGCATGAGAATAATGCAATGAGTTTTCTCATCAAATAAACTAAGAACATTCAACGAAACTTGATTATCGTAATAATAAACTACCTGTATTTTTTGTATTGTGAACGAAAAATTTTCTTACTGTTTGTGCTTAGATATTTAAGAGCAAAACTGTTATTAATAATAATAATAATATTTCCAACACTCACAACAATTAGCCTAGCCCCAAAGTAAGCACTGTAAGGCTTGTGTTATGGGATACTTGGGTAACGGATAGAATACATATATTGTACATACATAAGTATATTTATATAGAAATGCATATTAAACATCCATGTCTGGAGTACAAATGCTCGAATTCATCACACAAACATCTGCCCCCACCGGGATTCGAACCCGGGAGACCTCTCGAGTCGACGACAGCCATGAAACCCGAAGTACAAACCACTCGGCCGTGGAGGTCGTCAAATTTATATATTATTTATATATTTGTTTCTTAGGTTTTCACGCACTTAACTCATTAAATAAAACTAGTTTTTCACGGGTTAATGCACGAAACTTAGTAATATATACTGTTTAATTTATACATTATCTATGCCTACTTAACTTTTTTTTTATTCGGTAATAGGTAAGCGCTTGACCATAATTCGCCTGATGGAAAGCAATATCATGGTCTACGATGGAGCCCGCTTACCTAATAAAAACTTGTTAGCTTATTTAATTAAAATTGATGTTTTTTTAAGTTTCTGTTTTGTCCTATATTTTTTTTACGGTTACGATTGGATTATTATTAATACAGACATAAACATTTTAAAAACTGACATCTGCTCTGCTTGAAACATTTTATGTATTTGTGGATTTATAAAACCATTAGGTATATGTGTGTCGGAAGGCCCAACGGGAATATCTTCGTCCGTCCTCGGTGATGTTAACTTGGTAGCCACAGCCCAACTGTTTTTTTTTGAGTGTGTGTCGTATAGACCTGTACCTTGTCTCCGGGTTTGGGGACGGAAAAGCCGGGAATTGGCGAGTGCCTCGAGAGGTATTCCAGGCGGATGGCATCTCCCAACGGGGGGAGTCTCCAGTCCGTCTGGAGCCTCTAGACCTCTCGAACCTGACCAGGCGCCCGACTGAAGTTCGGACATTGCATAAATGGAGTGTTAGCCTCCGAATTTCACTTTACGATGTAGGCTTCCAGACGTTGTGAGCGCAGTGCCGGTAGCCTCATCTCTTGAGGAGGCGCGTGATTATTTCCTCCATGTTGGTTATATGTTGAGCATGTGGAAGTCGCCGCCACATGGTGAATACTATTACGTCTTCAGGACGAGGAGCTCGATGGCGCCAGATGTTAGCGCGTTCGGCTGCGGTCGTTGAAGTTGAGCAACTTTCGCAGTGGTCGGTCATTGGATGGGTGACCAAAAATTTAATATCTCGAGCTCCTCCGTGCTTCGGAAGGCACGTTAAGCCGTTGGTCCCGGCTGCATCTGCAGTCGTTAGCACCCACCAACCCGCACTGGGCCCGCGTGGTGGGTCATGGCCCAATCTCCCTAATTCATCCATAGGGAAGGCCCGTGCCCCAGCAGTGGGGACATTAATAGGCTGATGATGATGAACAACATTAATTTTTGCATACAAAATATAACATTAAGTTTAAACAATTGCCTAGGTAATTTCCATCATTATTTATCTCACATAGTTTCTAATAAACATGAGAGAAAAAAGAAACAATTTTTGGCATCATAATGAACATAGACAAAACAAAAAGATTGTTTTAAACTTTCATGGTCACTAACATTATAGTAATATAAGTTATTTACGGGATTGTTACCATGTACCTTGTTTTTATCTATGAAATATCGGAAACTCGCTAAAAACAAGGTACATGGTAACAATCCCGTAAATAACTTATATTACTATAAAACAAAAAGAAATAAAAATATACGGCACTATTTAGGAAAAGTGTGTTTTGCAATGCTCCTCTTATTTATAGTAAATTACCTGAAAGTGTGCGAGAAATTACCGTGACCAATATATTTAAAAACAAATTACAACATTTTTTAATAGAAAAATGTTACTATACGGTCCGTGAATTTTTGGAAGACAAAAGTTTTTAGATTAATATAGAAAATGACATGCATGAAATAATTTCAATCATATATTTATCGCTTATTGACATTTTGAATTATGTTAAATTTATTAATGTGACATTGAAATAATTAATGTTTTATAGAAATATTTTATTGCATGCCGATAAGGCAGAATATGGCTGAACTGTATTAAAATGTATCTATGTAACAACTTTGCAATCTGTATTCGCAATAAAGATGATTTGAATTTGAAATTTGAAAAATGTTGTGCCTAAAACGAGTTACAAATTAGTTTTTTGAATTTCAAAGAATTAAGATTAAACATATCAATGTGACTATATTTAGAGTTGTATGTTTTCATAGCTCGCACAATATAGCGATTACTTGCATAATTAGTCCGACCCGCCCCGGAATGCAAAACGTATCACGTGCTCGTAGATTTGCTCTTGGACAATTTAGCAAAATTTTTAATATAAAATAAATAATGATGATTATATGAATTTACTAATTCAAATACCACTTCCTATTACAATTTCCTTAAGTAAAATATCTCTTATCTATTAGACAAGTCCGTCCGTCCGTCTGTCTGTGGTGCTGTTTCAGCGGCCAAACCGTAAGAGATAGATAAAGAGAATATTTAAGTTATAAGTTAAGAATAGTCTGATAAGACTACAAACCGGATTTGAGTAACGTAGCACTTCCGGTTTTCGAGAAATCACGAATTTCAAACGAAACCACACAAAATCTCCGAAGTTCTCAATTTTTGTTTTAATTGGTGAACATTTGGTTCACTGGTTTGTTAGTTATAATTAACACTGCTGACGCATACAAGTTCAAGATTGTTTCATTCATAGGAATCTTAATTATATTCAATGAATTCACGTTACCGGATTTTATCAATTGTTGAGTTTATGCTCTTTCTTTGTCCTCAGGAGAAAATCCAGCAGCCATGCAGTCATCATCACCCAGCTTCACCCATCTGAACCTCAACGGTCTTCTGCTACCAGCGCTACTCTCATTCCACATCACACGGTGACAGTGTTAGGCGAAAACCTCACATAACACCTTAGACATAAGATCCGAACTCGTCTGGAGCGATGCGTTTTCTATTCCTCTTTTATGACGCAATAACTTTGTATACCGACAACAGTTGTAGTACATTTTCAGTGCAGTTGGCCCCGAGACTTTAGAGAAAGTAATTATAAGTAAACGTTCTCAGTGAAGTTAGTTAAGAGTGGGGGTTGGCGGGGGGGGGGGGGGGGGGGGGGGGGGGGGGGTTGAATGTGCATCAATAAAGTAAGTTCCACGTAGTGAACTTAAATTGTTCGTTAAATACTTTGACGGGGAAATTTCGTCGTTTCGTTCTAGAATGTGTGACTAACTATTGTATCTAACGCTGTCTCTTAGTGCTCAGACTCTGACACTGAATTTTGTTAATTTCCGAGTTAAAGCTTTGTGCATCAAATCGAAGGAGATAATGCAAATAGGTTATAGGGTGGCACAAAAGTAATCACTTTATCGGAAGATGTTGTATGTTTTCCATGAACTATGTAACGTTCGTACTCAAGACGTCTCGGACCCTTACAGGTTCCGGGTTCAAGAAAATCTCGTCATTCATCATCATCAATAATAATAATAATATTTCCAACATTCACACTAATTAGCCTAGCCCCAAAGTAAGCACTGTAAGGCTTGTGTTATGGGATACTAGAGTAACGGACAGAATACATATACTGTATATATATGTGTATAGGTATATTTATAAAGAAATGCATAATAACAAATATGTACCCCCAACATCTGCCCCCACGGGTATTTGGACCCGGGACCTCTCGAGTCGGCGACAGTCATGAACCAAAATACTCGGCCACGGAGGTAATCGTCAATCATTATTTTCGAATTAGTTTTGAACATTTCCAAACGATATTGATAAAAAAGAAATGCATTTTCATTCAATGTAACTTTCCGTCCGAATTAAGAGATTAAGGAAAAACGCTTTCTTTTTCGTGTGTTTCTCCGTCCTTTCCTTCTGAGGACGAAAATCTCTTAGTAGCAAAATTACACATTCATTCATCACAATTGGCTCTTTCGTTCATTGATATTTACAACAAAAATAAAAGAACCGCTGAACCTTTTTTTTCCTTTCTATTTTGTGTATTCAATTTAATGGTAACCTTTCTGCTAAACACCATTCCTATTTCTTCGCGATATTTATGTGCCATTCCAGTGGTTTGTTTAATTTTGTGAACTGCTACAGTTAGGTAGTTGTCCGGGAAAATAATAGTGAATAACGAACTTAAGGGGAGAGTATAAAACTTTATTATATCTTTGTGCCGAGCACTCTGGGTTAATTTACTTGAACATCGCTAACTGGTTCAATCTGCGAGTACTTAGCTTGATAATAATAAATATACAATTCAAGTCTTTTTATTTAATAGAATCTTTAATGAAAAAGTAACAGATGATTTCACTATAGAATTAAGTAGTTTTGCAAAAATATATTTAAATAATCTCATTCTTAGTTCGTACATCAAAAACACATCGACCATAATAAGAAGTAAGAAGAAAATAATATAAATTTTTTCGATATCTCCCAGTCGGTTTCATGAGATTCAAAAGATTGGAACGGTTCAAATCATCTTTAATTTCAAATTTTAACACATTATCACCTTTTCAATTTGACATTCTAAAGTAATTTATAAACTACAACCATGTTATCGAAGGTTATAAATAAATTCACAATGTGTTATATGAAATGTAATTACAAACTTCAAATTGTAAATCTGTAGTTCTTTAGACAGATATAATGAAAGCGCAAAGCTTTATTGTCTGCAACCTTTAAATTTTACTGTAAACGAAGTATTTATATTTACTTATTGTTCGATTTGGATTCAAATCACTAACGTTATTTACCGAATACCTTTGATCATATTCTTTATAGTTCACTGTCAACGGCGTACACATAATTCTACTACACTACACAGGGCCATTAGAATATTTCTGTTATTAACCAAAAGCTGATATTGAAATCGTACTTGAAGTGAACTTTGACCACAAGGCACTCTTGTCCTTGAATTTAAAATTAAGTTACAACTAAACATATATATATGTAATATATCCAGAATGTAATATAGAAAAAAACAACTCTTAATTTATCAGGCTGGCACCTTGTATTATTAGTAACACACTGCCTTTACTACACTAGGGTATGAGGGATATTGTAACAAGACTGAGGGATAGTGTAACAAGTAGCAAAATGTAACATAAGGAATATATTTGCCCTTTTTTATTTGCCTATGATCTGTCTTGACGTGTTTAATGAGGTTAGAGAGAAGGAAAACGATCGCTGTAGAAAATAGTGTCCCAGAAATATGGACAAAACAATTGAGGCGCTGCGATCGCTAAGTTGTCTCAATAAAAGCGGGCCAATTGGAAATGACCAATGCCGCGAAGAAAATTTGTACATTATTCAACTGACTTCATCTACTTGTACTCATAAACAGCTAACTTCACAGATACTACTTACCGACGGCAGCGCGGCTGGTGGCTGAAAAATGAACTATAAATTATACAAATTTTCAGGGTCCGCCGGGAAAATGCTTTAGTACGTAGCGATCGTTCTCCTTCTCTCTAACCTCCATGGTTACATATGCCATCAACTTAAGCAGCTGTCATCAGACGTCAAATGGCCGGGTATATATTATACAGATATACGCCTTATGACATACTATGCCCCTTGTTACACTGTGACCACTTGTTTCAACTTAGACGAGTCGTATGCAGTACGATGGAATATTATACAGATATACGCCTTATGTCATACTATGCCCCTTGTTACACTGTTACACTTGTTTCAACTTAGACGAGTCGTATGCAGTACGATGGAATATTATACAGATATACGCCTTATGTCATACTATGCCCCTTGTTACACTGTGACCACTTGTTTCAACTTAGACGAGTCGTATGCAGTACGATGGAATATTATACAGATATACGCCTTATGTCATACTATGCCCCTTGTTACACTTGTTTCAACTTAGACGAGTCGTATGCAGTACGATGGAATGTTAAGCGAGCAGCTGTGCCCCAAGCACTAAGCGAAAATTTTGCGTATAGTCTTAGTCTTAGCTTACAGTACAGGGTTACGTGATAACAAGAAACTCGTGAAAGAGTGTTTAAATTCTATCTTTACTGTTCGAAACAAAATAGACGTAAGGAAACGAGTTACATTAAATGTTATTCTTACGGCCTTTCTTATTAATCCAAAGTATCGGGTAAACTTAGTTGCTTAACAAACTAGTCATTATTTTTATTATCTAAACATAACAACACCAACCACATACAACACATAAAGAAAGGTATATCATGGTCTTGTTGTGAAAAGAATAAGTAAATCAGGAAGCTAGGAACATAACACGGAAATTGCTGTTATTTGGCAATATAATACCATTATTCATTTAGATAGCATTAATTTGGTTATTATATAAAAATAATACAGCGTTTAAGTTGCATCAACATGTTGACAACCCAGACCAAAAGCATAAGCACTAGTCCAGCATCAACTCACTTTTAATTAATCTTACTCCCAGAATGGAAATCGTTTGGTGTTACTCTTCTGAGAAATCGGGATCATTGTACAATCAACAGCACGTCAGATATACCATAGTATATCATAACTCTTCAAACCAATTGTAACTCTTATGTCAGGCAGAATAAAACCAAGATGCAGTTTAAGAAACCCCGACAGTTTTGGTTAATCTGACCCGTTTGTTAATTGAACAGATATTACGGGAATATGTTGATAACGATAGTGAAAGGATTGGTGGATACCCATCCTTCCAAGTACATTCTAGAGGTGAAATGAGGCATTTCAATTCACTTACATCTATCTGATTGGATAAATGTTGTCAAAGGGCTTAATCGGCTCCTTTCAATCGCTTTTGTGGTAATTTCTAACTTAGCCGCCGCAATTTATCAATTATTGCGTCTGTGGAAAAGGGATTGGACGATTGAAAAGAGCTTTCAATAAGTTAATTTGATGATAAATAATGATAATTCAATCAAAAATCCAAAATATTAACGATTCATTTAAGTAGTTACATTCATTAAAATAGTAAAACATTGAAAATATCAATCAAATGCCAAACTACAAAGTTTTCTCTGTTAAGCATACCGTGGACAGCCCGTAGAACAAACGTATCGATCATAAATAAAATTGAATGTAATGAGTACAGGGACTCCCGAGAATTTAACTCGAAAAGAAATACATGGTTCGAAACCCTTTTAAAAACAGGGAGAAACTAATTGCTACGGAGAAAGTAAGTTTGAAGGTAAAAGAAATACACAAAGAACGCATCCTAAAAAGATGAACCGTCCAACTTCTATCACAGGAGTACTTGACCACTTGAAAAGTTTGAAAGCCATTCTGATAAAGAAATATGAGTCGGTAACATCACGACGCTTATAGAATGGTATGGTAACGATGAGAGGACTAAATCCACCTTTTTTCATATCTAGAAAAGGCTTGAAGCTTTCATCGGGAATATGCAAGACTTCTTCTCGCTAAATAAACCTACCCGCTAAAAACTAGACAATGTTCCTGCACCGGCTACCCGAATGACCTAGGTCTCTAGAATGTTTGTCGAGAATGCGGGTGCAGTTGTAGCCCCCTTAAAGCTGACCTGTCAGTGAGCTGTACAAAGCAATTCGATTATCAAGATAGCGTCTGTTTTTATTACAAGCTTTTCTATATTTTTCAACCTTCTTTAGCTCAGCTAATCTCAGCTGCTCATTACTATTAGACTGTATATTTAGCTAATTTACTAATACATTCCAGTTCTCTTTGTTTTTCCTTTCGTAGTCCTCATACTTATTCTTTCTTCCATTCTTCCTCTTTCTCTCTGTAACTGCTGATATTGCTGACTATTCTATTAGTCGTAGATTTATTTTATTTATTTCTGGGATGGGGACTCCACATACTTTATTCCTTTATAATAATAATCTACTGGTCTCTCATCTATATCAGAATAAATTCCTATCGTTATAATAGAGGAGTTTTTGCATATCGTGGATTATAGCTTATAGTTTCTGTAGCAATTTCGTGAATTATATTCGCAAGCGACACCTTTTGGCCGGTGCACAATGCTGAAACAGTTCCAAATTATACCTATTGTAATATCAACTTTATTGCCATATAAATAGGTACACGTAAATCTGTATTTACTAACTTTAAGGTCTCATAATTATTGTTGCCCTTAAGACGCATTTGACATATCTATTTTTTTTAAAAGAAATGGTATTGAGACAAATTTATTATTATTGTGAATAATACTATAAATATTGCGAACAATACTCGGATTATATATTTCAAATAAATTAAAGACATAACAGTTATAAACCTTATGCAGCAAAGAACGCATCGCTCCTTGTGTTTGTATAAAATTAAAACATCAGTTTTATTACGTCTCTGTAAAAATACTATTAAACTTAAGTATTCATGTGAGTGATTGAACGAATGAATGATTGGACAGAAGATTGGTTATTGAGGACTAAAGATTTCATTCGGTGAATTCGAAACGTGAATGTTAATATTATGTGTATTTAAAATTAGATTTAATTTTCAAAATGATTTTTAAATTGAGTGAAATCTTTATTCCGATTTAATATAGATATAAATTATTATCACCTAAATATATAATTTGGATGTAAAATATCAACATACCTATACCTAGATACATTATTTCGTTATCTCATTTTGAGAAAAAAACCTAACCTATTTATTATTATTGTAATCTTTGTCGCTATTAATGCCTTTATTTGAATAAAATTAATTTAGTATGTTTTTTCCATATGTTGTATGCGTAGAAATAATAGGCGTTAATTTTAAAAAAGTAAATTACTTTCATTAATTACAGAATAATAAAAAATATTAAATTGTAAAATTAACAATATATATGACAACCGTCCATAGTTTTTATTTAATAAATCTTGAAGGTTATAACTTTATTTCAAAAAGGCAAAAAAATACAAATACATATTGTTTAAAATTTCTTACTGTTTTTTAAGTGGTTGTTACAAATAAAAATAATAAACGTGTGTAAATATTGTCAGACAAAAAAAAATATAAATAATTGTTTGTGTTGAACACTTTCACGAGTCATCGTAAAAAAATAGTTGTTAAATGTAAATAATTATAGAGAAATAAGCAGAACCACATTTAAAATATACATAACTGTTCATTTTTATGATGGGTTTTATTACTATATATCTCCCGATTTCTCCTGCAATTTTATAGAATAGAATAGAATGGAATATATTTTATTAACCCTCATTTTGGCCACCCATCCAAAGACCGACCACTGCGAAGGTTGCTTA